TAGCTCCAGTGAAGACGTCGTCGCTCAATGGCTACAACCACCACCCTCAGCACGGTCTGCTGCACCACTCCTACTCCCACCCTCTGTCTGCCGCTCTCGAGCCCTCACACAACTATGTCAACACAGAGAACGTGACGGCACCACTTAGCGCCCACCGGCCGGACACGGCCCGCCGGCGCACAGATGGACCCACCATCTTCAACTTTGACTTCCGCCGGCCTCCGCTGCCAGGCCACCCGGAGCCACCCAAAACCCTCAACTACATTGAGGTGGAGATGGACAACAGTGCAGGGAATAAGGGTGCTTCAGACGGCAGCAACCCCCACACGCCTCGCACCCCCACCTCCCCCTTGCCCCCGACCACACCCACACGCCGCACGGAGCTCTACGCCCTCATTGACATCGAGCGCACTGCCGCTATGTCTAACCTGCAGAAGGCTCGGCCCCGAGACGACGGCACGTCACGCAAGACGAGACACAACAGCACGGAGCTGCCCACCAAAAGCACTGTGTGACACGCACCTTCTACTTCCTGTTTGTAACAACAGAGTGGTTGTTGGTCCCTCGGAAGACTCCACCTCCACCTGACCTAATGACTTCCTGTTTGGTCACCTGCTCAGGTAGACCTGATGAATGAACCTGGTGATATGATACCTCTGATGAGTTAGTGTGCAGAGCGGCAGGCGAGGACGATGTTAATAAGACTGCATTCCTCCTCTTTATATGGTACAAATCAGTATTACTGAACAAAGCATTCCATTTAGCCTTTTTATATGATTCACTACATGCTGCTGTAAGTCAGTATCTAAGGACCACATGGTACACCACATTATGTTTCTGAGTATGTACAGTAGATTCTGGCACAATAAATGTCTGTTGTGTTTTTATTTGTACTCTGGAGAAGATGGTTCCTGTCCTGCCTCATATCAGCTGATTTACAGTGAGTGCATGAGTCTTTCTTCAGGTGTTAACTATTACTTTTTATTTCATCAACTGAAAAATGGTAATAAATTAAACAAATGGTGCTATGTACTAATGTTTGTGCACTCTAACTCATGACTTGGTAACACATAGCACAGCTTAGAGCAGGTCTGAATCTTAGTTCCTCAGCCTCTCCCTGTAGATCTTTGCAGAGGCTGTCAGCACACACAGCATGTTTAAAGGACAAGGTCATGGCTTTGTATGTTTTTTTTCCCCACTGGTCCAGAGACCAGCAGCACCAGTGAATTCCACTGGTCCAGAGACCAGCACCACCAGTGAATGTGGTGTCTTCACTGTAATGTGTGTGAGTCCAGACCCTGGTCCAGCTTATTGCTTTGTGCCGTGGACCTCCACTCCCCCACCCACCCCTGAGTCAGAAGGAAGACGGAGTCATTGATCTCTGCTCTGGTTACTCGACTATTCGTCTCACAGAACGTTTGGAAGCTTTTTGCTGTGGCTCACTGATGTTTAATAGTTGTGGGACAACAGTGGAGGTCTACGGCACCAGTATAAACATCTGAAGAAAGGCTCGATTTGAATGCGTTTGCTGCAGGGCTTTGATTCGCTATGACTTCATGGAATTTGCATCAAACTTGATGGGAGGGAGTCAGAACAGTAACATCCTGGCCAAGTGTTTGACCTCTAGACATTTTTCCAAAGCACCAATAACTAAACTGTCGAGTAGTGGTGGTTTGGCAGATACATGTCATTTGTAACTGACATGAAATTTTTTTTAGACTTTTCTGACAGAAAACTGATTATCTTTGAGTTTGGGACTGTTGGATATTTAAAAACGTGACCCTGGTTTGTGGTAAATTATAACGGGGACATTTTGCTCTGTCATTTTATCAAATGATTATTTGGCACATGGATCAGAAATGAAAAGGGATCTGTACACCATGAGACAAAATTAGTCTAAAGTGATGTTTTACAATGTGTCTGACAATTAGCAGCACATTTAAGACATGAAAGCATCAAATATTTTGGCATTTTGTTAGAAACGTGACTCTAGTGTCGAGTCCTATCCAGTAATTATTTGACTAATTGGTGCAGTCTAGATCCTGACAAACAGCTGGATGTTTGTCAGTTTTGTACATTTTATGTACTTAGTTCAGAAAAATAACAGATTAATCATTAATAATGATGGATTGATAGAGCTCTACTTTATTTGAAAGTCAGTTGTTCAGACTGATCCCACTCATGTCCAGAAATAAGAAACCCCAGCCAGCAGCTGGTTAGCATAGTGTAAAGACCGGAGCCAACTATCCTGGCTGTTTCTTAGCAAAAATCCACCTCCAGCTCCTCCAATGACCCTTGACTAACATGTGAGATCTGTTTTGAAAATGTCAAACTGTTCCTTTAAAATCAAAGTCCTGCTCAGATTTGTAATTTGCTGCTTCTTATTGGATCAGATCAGGTAGAGTTCAGCTTCTCCTGGTTGAGTTCACTGATGTCACGCTCTGGAGTCCAGACTCAGCAGAGTAAATATTTACTCAGTCCTAACTTTAGAGATCTTTGTTTTGGTTTGTAGTTCAGTTTACAACCAGTTTATCCTGAGTAGGTGAGTGTGACAGGTCAGACTGGTCTAAAGACTTTCTGCATTTTCTCCTTGAGGTTTCTGTCTCTGCAGCAGTGGAGACATCTGCAGCTCAGTTACAATAAAAACAAGCGCTCAGAGACCTCATGTACCTCTGCCAAGGCACAACATTCACTCATGTTAATTGGCCCATTGTGAAACAGAGATCCAGAATAACACAAAGTACTGTATGTCCTAAAATCCTTGATCCAGATCTTTTTTTAGGGTATGAGACATTCCTCAGATCTGACTATAAAATGGGTTGTTCTCATGTTCCATGTGTACTTTGTAGGTTTTTTTGTCTTGAACAGGTTGGTAGCTGTTGTGAACCCTCTGGATTTACTTATTCTTGCAGATAGTTGGGTTTTATGTTCACATGTTGAGTTAAAAGACTGAAGTTTCCAGATTAGGGAGAACCTTTAAAGCAGAATTTAATTTGGTGAGGTGATTCACTCTACAGAAGGACGGACTTATGGCTTTATTTGTGTTAGTGGAAGGAGTTTCATGTGGATGGAGAGATGCTGCTCTGTCCACGACAACAAGCATCTGCTCTGCTGAAGAGACCCTGACCTGCAGCTTCACTTCCCGCTGTTGAGGAGGAGACTAACCTCCTGTAAAAACGACTCCTTACATCATTTGTGCCAGCAAATTATTGGAGGAGTCCGGATCAGGCTATAAAGGATAAACATTCACATCACTGAGTTGGTTTATGTTGAAAGACTAAATCAAACAAACAAAAAAAAACAACATCATTCCTTAATTAGTAGTAATAGTCACTTTAGGCTTTTGCCCTGAGAATGTTAATGAAGAAGTATAGAGATGGTTGGGAGGATATGCATTGCGTCTTTGTGGATTTAGAGAAAGTGTATGACAGAGTGCCGAGAGAGGAGCTATGGTACTGTATGAGGATGTCAGGAGTGGCAGAGAAGTACGTCAGAGTAGTTCAGGATATGTATGAGAGGAGTACGACAGTAGTGAGATGTGCTGTAGGTCAGACAGAGGAGTTCAAGGTGGAGGTGGAGCTACATCAGGGATCGGCTTTGAGTCCCTTCTTGTTTGCTATGGTGATGGACAGGTTGACAGATGAGGTCAGACAG